GTTCAGAATTAGCGGTATCACTATCGTGATCTTGGCTACAGTTCAACCTGGTTACAGAGCAATTTACTGCTATAATAAGGGATAACGCTACTTGGGTGGCATGAAGCAGCAAGCAGTTCATTTCATAAGAAAAGATTGGCACTTTCCACAATGATATATTGTGGTGCCGTCTTATATGCAGTCCTTGAGCAACCATTTTATTAATAATTGGGCATTTAAATAGCTACTTTATTCTAATGTTAAGCTTATTACCTTATTATTTTACTTTTATAATTAGTATTCACAGGCATAGAAAGTAGTAATTATGATTCAATGTCGTCTTAAGTCTTCTTGGTGCGTGGTGCTTTAATTATTCTGGTGCCAAAAAAAGCACACAGCAAAAGTATTCCCCCGACTGGCCAAAAACAGCAAATATCTCAGACTGCTGATACCTATACAGTGATCAGTGTGCCCCATCCAAACTATCTGATATGAAAATAAATGTTTCTGCACACCTCCTAGACAGGAAAATATGGATTCAAATCACTATAGACCAATTCAAGCTTGCAGTCACTAGCAGATCTTAAAAATAAAAAATCAGTCTGCAGTACTCACCTCCTCTCTGGTGTTGTGCCCCGCAGACTTAGAGATCTAGTGACACTCTGGGTTGTTGTTCTGGGTTGTTCAACCCACTTCCTGTGAGCCCAGGGTGTCAAGGGCCCGCCCTCTTTCTTGAATGCAGAGCAGTATGGTGTTGGACCACTCTGCTTTCACCTCAACAGCATGAAAGCACGTGACGTAACAGGACCAGACCAAAAATACCTGATAAAAAGGTACATATAAACATCCAAAATAAAAGGGTTGGAGATGCTTCAATTGAGGGATCACAAAGCAGAGTTCCACTCACTCTGTAAAAAAATAAAAGCAGCTACAAAAACTGTAGCTGCTGACTTTTAAAAAACAACCATTCACCTGTCCCACGATCCCGCGGTGCCCCCCCTCCGCAGCCTGTTTCATCGGACTTTCTGTATTCCAGGCGTCGGCATCTTCAGTGTGGGCACTCGGCTGTGATAGGTTGCGGCTTCAGAGCCGGGTGCCCACTGCGCATGCGCAAGTAGTGCTTCACTTCCTGAATGGCCCCGTCGTGTTCTGGGACTTGTCACATGTCCCACAAGACTACGGGGAGGGAGGGTAGGAGGACAACTTCCGCTTCCGATCACCCAGGCGATCGCAGTGGGAGTGGGTACCTGTCAATTTCAGGTACCCGATCCCCAAAGGTGCCAATCCTTAACAGGGAGCAGGGGACCAATCTTTAAAGCAGAACTTCCCCTTTTGGGTGGAAGTTCTGGAGAGGGCTTTTAAATGGACCAAATATCAGATATATTTTTCATGTTTGGTATTACCAAAGGCTCATTTTAACACAGAAGGTTATATTGAAGTGATTCTAAAGATTTAATTTTTTTTTTTACAAAAATAATAAACATGTCTATACTTACCTGCTGTGTGCAGTGGTTTTGCACACAGCAGCCCAGGTCCTCCTCTTCTCGAATCCCCCATGAGTGCTCCTGACCCTCCCTCCTGTCAGGTGCCCCCTTAACAAACAGCTTGCTATGGGGGCAATCGAGCATGCGCACTCCGCAGCGGCTGCTCCGTGTGTCCATTCCATTCACACACGGAGCTGAGGCTCGGCCCCGCCCCTTCTCTCTTCTCTTTGGCTCACTGGCTGTGATTGACAGCAGCAGGGAGTCCCGGGATAGCTGAGACTCCAGTGCACATCACTGGATTGAGAGGGGGCTTAGGTGAGTATTAGGGGGGCTGGGGTGGATGCTGCACAGAAAAGGTTTTTATACCTTCATGCATAGAATGCATGAAAGTAAAAAACCTTCAACCACTGTAGTCTCCCTGGAGGTATTCCCTAGTGTAGCTCGGGGTAAAGTTTCAGCCACAAGCGGTAACCCCCGAGCTACAATCGGGCTTAACATGCGGTGCTGCTCTGGGATCTGTTCTTCTCTTACCTTGTCCTGCGCTCCTGCGATGTCCCTCCTGCAGCGTCCCCGGCAATGTCCTCCGGCGGATGCCGGCATCTGTCTTCTGGGTTCCGTCCCCTGCGACGTCAGGACGTATGGGGACGGAACAGCGGGAAATTTGAAAATGACAAAAAGTGACATTCACTAATTTCACTAAAATCACATAGTAAAACATTACTGTATCAAACCATTTCACATACATTTTGTCCCTAGTGCTTTGTCCTGTGCCCTGCCTGCTCTTTTAGAAACTGAGAAATGTCCATGGTGTCCAAAAAGCGTCCCTTTAGGTCAAAATCAGTTTTAGACCAGCTAGAGAACAGCGATAGTAAATTAGAACCACTTGCAGAATTGAGTGATAATGATTCGTGGGGAAATTCGTCATCAGACACTGAAAACAATTTTGCGACTTTGTTCAGTGATGTGCGAACTTGGGACTCTATTTCAGATTTCAGTGTTTTTAGTTTGATTACATTATTGAATTAAATGTATTATTATATTATTATTTTTTATGATTATTTATTAAATTATAATTTATGATTTTGTGTTTTCAACTACATATTTCCATGCAAAAAAAATGTACTGCTTTGAGCACAGAAATTTAGACATAATCAGGCCGCTAGGGAAGTTAAATATAATATACAGTAATGGCTGTGTTCAAAAAAATAAAGGCTGCTTATATAAAATAAAAACCCTGCGCTTGTTAAATGGTAACTAGAAAACTGCTGCAACTTATAAATCATGAATACTGGACCCCAAGTAATTCTAAATTTTAAAAAAAGTGCGCTGTTCCTTTAAATAATGTCTATAAATCAGTATGCATAATCAAATAAACCATAAATCAATACACATAATAATAATAATCTTTAATAAAAAGTGATATTGCACTTACATTTAAAAAGTAAAAAGCTCCAATCCCAGAAGACGTTTATTATGAAGAAACGCATCAGTTGTGACATCATCGCATACGAGCGTGTTGTTTGGTCCCGCGGCCATGCATTTGGTCTTGTATAATACTAACTATGACTTAAAATGTAAGTACAATATCACTTTTTATTAAAGAAGTTCTTATCCTACTACACTATGAAGCTTCTCCTTCTTACCTAATATATATATATATTACTGCCTAAGGGAGGGCTAAAGTGTGTACTCCTGTTGTGGGGACAACACTGCTGCATCTTGCTGACTGGGTCATGGAGCTACCCTGAGGATTGATGGTGAGAGCATCGGCCAACTGTGGAGAGTTAAAGCATATGTGATCTTTATAAATTGAGATTGTCTCTGGTAAGAGGCCCTTTTGTTTGAGAAGCACTTTATGTACAGGAGCACCTTTATGTAATCCTGTGAGCATGGATCACTTTGATGGCACAACTTTATTAAGGACTTTAATATATATATATATATATATATATGTGTGTGTGTGAATGAACTGTTGAATTTAATTTATTTTATTAATTGCACTTTTTAAATATTGATTTATACAGGTATATAATCATGTTTTACGTATCATGTGTTAATTATGTGTATTAGGTTAAGGTTTATTTGATTATGCATATTGATCTATAGACATTTAAAGGGTCAGCACACTTTTTTTATGTAGAATGGCTATGTTAAACTATGGGGTCTATTTATTAATTATTTGCTGTACAAATGTCACAGCATTTGCACAGCTGTTGCAAGTATGTTTATTTCCTGTGGTTGTCAAATCTAAATGGTAGCCATAATGGGGTATTTTCCTAATATCCCTAATTTGGGAAAATACTACATTATGGCCACTAGATGAAACAAACGATCAGAGGTAACAAACAAATTAGACGGGTTACCAAAATTATTTGGGGCAGCTGTGCAGGAAACACATTCATAATGTGTTTCCTTCAGAATAATGCATAGACAGAGATTGCAGTTTTAGCGAAGTAGAAGTCACTAGAGTATGACTTTCTGATGGCTTATACCAGCAACTGTGACATGCTTAACCAAGTTAATACGTACATTTGTACATCTAAAAATTCGATATAGAGGAATCTAAATACTTATACGCAGATATAGGATATTTTATGTACAATGCATGCAAAACACTGTGGTCAGCAGAAGAGGTCTTTCTATAAATTAAAGCTTTGTGCCTGAAGGCACATACACACTACTTTTCTGTGCATTACATTTCTTCTCTTCTGCTTGGGATGACCATACATATAAAAAAGAGTCCTGTTAGTAAGTGGTTATACCAGAACCATGAATCCAGCTTCAACCTTGATCCTTGTACCATTTTTTTCAGCCACCGATTGGCTGTCTTGTAAAAGCGGTCTGGGCGATTTTACAGCTGTAAAGCTGCCTGATCACTTTTACAGCGCCAAGACGGCCGCCTCCTCTCTCTGCTGCCGTGGTTGTTTGCAGGCTGTCCCATTCTGGGAGGGCTTCCTGCAGAGGAGATGGAGGGACCATCTGTTCCCTGATCTCCTCTGTGATAAATGAACCTGGAAGCAACAATGATTTTGTCTCAGAGCTGTCATTTCCTGGTTGTTACAGCTAAGTTAGAAGGGGGTACATCCTGAAGAAGGGGGTAGACCCCTGAAACATGTCAGCTTGTTGAGGCACATGTATCCTGCACTGTACAGCATCTTCTGGTTTTTAACGTTCTTACCATTTGTACCTTTCTGAGTACCTATTTGTTACTTTCTACATTTTAAAATAAAACCGTTGGCAATGCACTAGGTGCTTGCACCCCCTGTCTGTTCTCCTTGTAGGTGTACATGGGATTTTCCTATATGAGGAGGGCTGCATCAGCCGAGCGTTTCGGGCACTCATGGATTTGTTGCTTCATATTGTTTCATATTCTTATCCAACTGTGGAAGAGCTCTGAGCTCTGGGTTTGATTGTGTTTTTTGTGTCGATTGCACTTACTGTATATGTGTATAACTTTCTCTGCTATCACCATTGTATGGACCCAATTATATGAGTTTGTATAAATAGTATTTAATATTTTACATCTGATTCCTGTAGAATTCAATGAGAGCAACAGTGGAGCAGCATGAAGGCAAGACAGATATCCTGCCACCTATAAAGACCCTGGTCACACTTGGAATGGAAGATCTTTCAATAAAGGTGAATGTCTATAGAGACTGCAATATTTTTAACAGCTTCTAATACAATTTTATGCATTATAGATTAAAGTAGAACTAAAAGCAAAACTTTACAAATCCTTTTTTTTGCATTTTGGATAGTGTAAAGGAGGGTTACAATTCCTGTCAGTTTTTTGGGGGGTTTTTTTTTCCATGTGTGTTCTATTGGGAAAATTTTCCTGAATTTCCTCTTCCATATCTAAAACAAGAAATGAGAGGAAAATCCCACTCCAAGGCGAGGGAATCCCTGTTTGTCACCAGGGTAACCAGAAGTAATGTCCCCACTGGAAGATTTCCCCTCTATACTTGTTCCACTGACTGCTCAGAATTGAGAGCCTCCAGCCCTCTGTACTTCTCTAAAAGAATATGAAAAGTCAACATTTCATATTCCTGATTTGTGCCTGCTGTACCATGTACTTGTATGAAAAAGTATCCCATTCTCTTTGTATTGCTTCCTTTGAGTGTAATCCCTGGTGTTCTTGCCAGTCCCTTTGTTTTCCTATTTAAAAACTGACAACACTAAGCACAGAGTGGTCAGTTCTATAGCTATGCTGGGAACTCAGTCTGCTCTCCTCCAATGATCAGACCTGTCCTGAATCCCCCCTTCTCCTGCACAGCCTTTCACTGGGGAAAAAAATATATATATATACAGTTGTGTTCAAAATAATAGCAGTGTGTTGAAAAAAGTGAATAAAGCTCAAAATCCTTCTAATAGCTTTTATTTCCATACACACAAATGCATTGGGAACACTACACAACTAAATATTAATTAAGTGATTCAAAGGAAAGCAAAATCTTCAAACATTTTTCAGTTTATATAGTGAATGTTTGATTTGGTAAAGAAGAATACAAACACTGCTATTTTTTTGTCTAATATTCACTTTTCTGCAATTTTTTTTAGAGGAAAACCACAGATCTGATATATTTTTCTTCATGTTTTGATTTGGAATAGAATGTGTAGTGTTCCCAATGCATTTGTGTGTATGGAAATAAAAGCTATTAGAAGGATTTTGGGCTTTATTCACTTTTTTCAACACACTGCTATTATTTTGAGCACAACTGTATATTCTTCAGATTATTTTTAACATATAAAAAAGTAATTTTAACATATATTTTTACATATATTTTGTAAATGCATTCCAAAAATGTAGATCTTATTGCTAAAATCATACAGTATATTTGATATATATTTTTAAAAATATTTTTCATATATTTTATAATAAAAACACATTTCAACATGCAGTGTGTATATATAGACCAAGATGTATGGGATGACAGGAAACTAACATTGGGAGAATACAGTTACTTTCTCAAGCTTACAAATGGATTAGTAATATTTAGTAAATGCTTACATTCAATTGTGGTTTTATATTTGCCAGTTGTTTCTTTTTCTTGAATTGATGGGGTATAAATGTTTTTTGTACTGTTGTTAGTAAAAAAAAAAAAAATTTATCGAAAAAAATAACTTACGATTTATCTTTTTGCAGATTAGTGACCAGGGTGGAGGTGTGCCTTTGAGAAAAATAGATCGGCTGTTCAATTATATGTATTCTACAGCACCCAGGCCCAGTCTGGAGCCAAGCAGAGCTGCTCCATTAGTACGTGTTTAAATACTGGTTTCTTCAAAATTACTGAAAAATATAAAGGGAGCACAGACCATGTAATAACTCTGTAATTATTATCAGCCTTCTCCATAAATGATTATTTGTATCTCCAACCAATTTTTGTTTTTTTAATTGAGTGTGGAAGGGTTAGAACCTCTGTTGAGTTTTTATTACTGTCTAAATGACCCAGTGAGAAAAATGTCCTCTCATTCTTGATCATATGACTGCTATCACTGCTTAAAGAATAAGTTCACCTTTTACAAAAAATAATAAATGCACAATTTTTTGCTGGTAAAAAAATGTGCTTTTAAAATGTTTTGTTTGTGGAGCCTCTAAAGCATTGCACTAGCGTTCAGCAGATCCCCATGATGCCATGCAGGTCTCCCCCTGACCTGTCAATATATCTGCTTGCTTGTACATCCCATACAGGCAAGCAGATACTTACTGACAGGAAGGCTCAGTGTACTACCACGGCACTCTGGAGTGCCATGGTAGTTCATTGAAAACTACATGCCTACAGCTGCAAAGTCTTCTGGGACTTGTAGTTTTCCCATTCACAGAATACTGTGATTGAGTGACTTGGCCGGGCGTTTTTTTTTTTTTATTGTGACAGCTGGCTGGGAGGAGAAGATCCCCCGCTAGCTGTCACAAGGGGGATCGGGGGGTGCGGTGGCCAGTCCAATCATAACATGTTACATGTTTCACCCTCAATATGGATGTAACGTGTTGCACAAGGTGAACTTATCATTTAAGCCTAGGTTCACACTATGAATTGCCTATTCCTGTGCAATTCACATGCGATTCAGTGCAGTGTGATTTGATCCTATTCATTTGAATTGGCTCAGATCACACAGTATTGCACCAAAAGTAGTGCATGCACTACTTTTGCAAACACACTGCACCGGATTGCATGGTAGTTTTGTACCATGTGATCCAGTGCATTGGAACACACTGCATTTGCGACCTGCATTTGGGGTGTCATTACTATTACACTGACACCCATTGCAGATTGCAAGGGTAGTGTGTTTTGAACAAGGTGTGGGAAACGTGCAGGGATCACTGGTTTCCCCGCACTGTGTTTTAGTGTGAACTGAACTTAAAGACTAACTCACCTTTTTGCATCATGTTACACCCTTATTTAGGGTACAACATATTTCTAAGCATACCATCCCACCCTCAGAATGCCCTCCCTCTGTGACAACCTTCTCCCCTGTAGCCGCAGTCACTTAGAGTTTTCCTGCCACCCGCACAGCCACATCATTCATTTACAGAGATCTGTGAATAAAGGAACTATAAGCCCCGTCTGCCACCGCAGCAGGCAAACTTGTAGTTCTCAATGGAATACAAGTGTGGTAATCAGTGCAATCGTAGTCAATTGACATGTCCTCCAACTCTGTAACAAAAAGCCTCAGTATGGGCAGGGAGCTGGTGGAAATGTCTGCAGGAACCTAGCATTGCACCCACAATCCACTGATCATGGGTGCAGTGCTCTGCAAGCGCCTCTGAAAAAAATAATAAATGCATGGCTTTTTTTCCAGAAGAAGTATGTGCAATTATTATTTATTTTAAAGGTGGTCTTAGCCTTAAAGAATATATATACCCAACATTTCATATTCTTGATACGTGCTCGATGTACCATGTACTTGTATGAAAAAGTATCCATATACAAAACAGGAAATTAGTGGAAAATCCCCCTCCAAGAAAAGGGAATCCCTGGTTGTTACCAGGGTAACCACAAGTAATGTCCCCACTGGAAGATTTCCCCTCTATACTTGTTCCACTGACAGGTCAGAATTAAGAGCCTTCAGTCCTCTGTACTCCTTAAAGAATATGAAAAGTCAACATTTCAAACTCCTGATATGTGCCTGCTGTACCATGTACTTGTATGAAAAAGTATCCTGTTCTCTTTGTATTGCTTCCTTTGAGTGAAATCCCCGGTGTTCCTGCCAGTCCTTCTGCTTTCATATTAAAAACTGATCACACCAGGCAGGAGAGCACAGCATGGTCAGTTCTCAATGCAGTGCTATGCTGGTAACTCAATGTGCTCTCCTCCAATGATCAGACTTCTGCTGACATGCCCCTCTGCACAGCCATTTACTGGGAAGATCAGTGTTCTCTTGTTTCTCCTCTCTAGCTCTTATGCAGCTGAGAACAAAGGGAATGTGGTCACTTATAAAAAAAGGGGGGGAAGTGTTTATAATATTTTTATATCTATACACAATTTGCTTTTCATTTCTTTTTTAACCTCTTCCTGTTCGCCCTATAGCAGATATACTGCCACAGGGCGGCACGGGTGCGCAAAATCACATATATATTCGTGATTTCGGAATTCCAGGTAGGAGGCGCACGTGCACCCTACCTGTGCCACCATTTTATTACACACCGGTGCCCGGTGATTGCCAAGGATCTCTGACGGGGCAGAACTGTTAGGAAACAAAACAGTTCTCCTCTCTGTCAGCTCATGCACACTGCTTTGCTTATGCAAAGCAGTGTGCTTACAGTGAAGCACACAGATCCAGCCCCATAGTAAAACACACCAGCACACAGTTGTCCCTTTGGTCTCCCCAGATGTTAACCCTTTCCTTCCCAGTGCCATTAGTACAGTGTCAGTACTTTTTATTAGCACTGATCACTGTATTAGTGTAACTGGGGATGTCAGTGGTGTCACTGGGGATGTCAGTGACACCAAGTCAGTTCCCCCAGTGTCAGAATGCTTGCCACAGTCCAGCTATAAGTTGCTGATCGCCACCATTACAAGTACAAAAAAAAAAAATTGCAGTATATATACCGCCATTTGTAAATGCTATAACTTTCACATAAACAAATAATTTACACATATTGGGATTTTTTTCCAAAGACATGTAGCAGAATACATTTTGGCCTAAATTTATGACAAAATTTGATTTTTAAAATTTTTTTACTGGACACGTTTTATAGCAAAAAGTCAAAAATACTGTTTTTTCTCAAAATTGTCGGGTTTTTTTTTTTTATAGTGCAAAAAATAAAAAATGCTCAGGTGATCAAAATACCACCAAAAGAAAGCTCAATTTGTGGGAAACAGGACATAAAATTCATTTTGGTGCAGCGTTGCATGACAGCACAATTGTCAGTTAAAGTAATGCAGTGCCGTAGCGCAAAAAATGGCCTGGTCAGGTAGGGGGATAAATCCTTTGGAGGGCAAGCGGTTAAATTGAATCATAGGATATAGTATAAGGTGAGGGTTTGCAATCACTTTAAAAATAAAAAAAAATAAAATAACATCCGGGGTTGGGCTTTTAATGAATGATGATCTTTGCCATATATGTGTCAAACAGTTACAATGTGTTATATTGTTAAACACGTAACATAACAATCTGTTTTCTTACTTCAGGCTGGTTTTGGGTATGGACTGCCTATATCTCGACTTTATGCCCGCTATTTCCAAGGAGACCTTAAACTCTATTCCATGGAAGGAGTTGGCACTGATGCAGTTATCTATTTAAAGGTATTTATGAGTTATTTTGATTACTTGTGTTATAAGCCAATTTTTTTGTTTTCGTTTTGAGAGTTTAGCGTGGGAAAGGGTTACAACGTCTCTTTTTTACTGATTTATTTTTGTGTTCAAATACAACAAAAAGAAACAAAATATTCACAGGTTTATGACTGCCACATTGTAAAAACAATTCAAATGTATAAATAAAAAGCACGAGAGACATATATCAATCAACAATCTTCACTGAAACGTCACATATTTGCACCTCCACCATCCAGTGATTATAGTAGTGGGTGGGTTTACCTAAATATATGTTTACATCAATGAAATTCATTTATTTATATATACAGTATACTGTATATACTGTGTATGTGTGTGTGTATATATACAGAAGTGTCCCATGTACATGGAGCCTTATCATTCTATCTCTTGGACTTAATACCTTCCCATAAATATATATATATATATGGGAAGGTATTAAGTCCAAGAGATAGAATGATAAGGCTCCATGTACATGGGACACTTCTGAACGATGGAAACTGACTGCTGGGAAACTTGGTTAAAAAAAGTCTGTTTAGCCGCATTTGCATACCACGTTTATGAGCGTTTGTGTTTAGAAGCGTTTTTTAAAGATAACCTCAGCAGACCTTCCAAAATGCCCAGAATGCACTGTAAAAAACAGTAAAAAATTTACTATTTCAGACGTTTTCAGAGAAATAGAGAGAGCAGAAGCAGAGAGTATTTGTTGAGATTAGCTGTCTTTTTCTTTTTTTGTGGTGTTTGGATGTGTTCCAGCTCATTTCTGTGCAGAAATTATTGCAGCAGTGTCTAACATATTTTCTTTCATGCGAAACCTCAAACTATGGTGTACCAGGTCCATTTGAGTATCAGGAAAACGCTTTGCATGCATTTTTCATGATGACAAAAGGCACTGGACAGCATCTGGAAATGGAAGAGTTAAAAAAAAAATTTCAAAACGCAAACGTTTATAAGCGCGGTTCGCTGCGTTTACAAGTGTTTGGCGTTTGAAACGCTGATAAAATCTACTCCTGAATGCAAGTTTGGTGAGTTAAAAAAAACGACTGTAAATGACATAGTGTACATGGACACATTTGAAAACATTAGGGAGAGCTCAGGGGCTGCTGAAAAAAAACGCAGAAAAGCTCCTAAACGTCAGTTTATCAGCTGCAGTGTATATGGAGCCTAAAACCTGGAAGCTGATTGGTTTCTATGCAGAGCTGCACCAGATTTTGCACACTCCAGTTTTAGTAAATCTCCCCCATGTGTCCCTGGGGGAAGGCATATGTCACCAACATTTTTCTAAGCAATGGTAATTGAGTAAGTAGCTTTATGATTAATTCAGGCTTCTTATGCTCTAGGCTGTGTCCGGGGAGTCATTCGAGAGACTGCCGGTCTTTAACAAGTCAGCATGGCGACACTACAAAAACGCAGCAGAAGCTGATGACTGGAGCAATCCAAGCAGAGAGCCACGGGATGCTTCCAAGTACAAGGCTAATTAACGGACAGCCTTCAGGGTTCCTCGCAGAATGGCATTATTTTTTTTCTCCTGTGTATTGGATATGTTTCCTGTCCAGAGCATTTATGAGCATATACTGGTCAGTAGCAAAAAAAAAAGGGAATGCATTCAGGTTTATCTGTTAAAGTAACCAGGGATTAGGATGGCTCACCAACTGTGGAAATGTAGGCTTGCTTTGGTTTATTGTGTTCATAAATACGAGGTTTGCTTTTAATCACATTCAATGAAATGATGTAGCAAAACGGGTTAGCGCTGGTCCTATTAGGTGTTTGCAATGCACATGTAATCTATTGCAATAAGAGTTTGTTCATACAGATTACATGTGAGGCTGTGTTGTAAAATAACATTTTTTGGGGAGTAGAACACTCTAAAAAACATTTCACATTGTAGTGAAGAGAGATTACTTTGGTATATTTATATGCACCACTGTAATATGTATGCATTCAGAGTGTGTAGCCTTTAAATGATGTGCGTGCGTGCGAGCGTGCGTGCGTGCGAGTAGTTCTGCAGCATAGTCTGCTGCTTTATAAGGGAAAAATCACTCCACTTTGACCACTTTTTGCATCTGCTTTTTTCATTCTTTTTTTGTAATAGTCCTCCAATCTGCTGTATGTAAAGTGAAATGAAACCCTTGTTCTTAAGCACTTTTAGCGGGTAATTTAATCACTTACTGAGTATGCAGTTTTTTTAATCTTTGAATTCTTTCCTATGTTCCTGTTTAATCTGGTGCCATGACTGCTGCTCCAGGATTCCAGTTTCAAGATGACTCCTTTCTCTTGTATCATCCTATAGTGCCACCCAGGCATGCAGGGACTAAAGTTGTGTCTCCCTATGCTGTGTGACTGACCATTCGAATTATTGGGCACTGCCCAAGGGCCAGGGGTCAATAGGGGGCCAGCAAACACAAATGCTCCTGTGCTTGGGGATGGACTTGATGCAGGCTACAACCACATTAAGAATGTCCTGGAACATGCACACCTTGCTGCCCTCAAATGGACCGGAGAAATCCAAATATACTGAATGAGGAAAGACAAAACAGAGGGCGCACAGGCCTAGTGCATTACCATAAAAAATGTTTAATAAAAAATAAAGTAGGTGTTGTACTCACAAACGACAATATAGTCAAGGCACATCATAAAAGAACAGCTGGGTCAACACCGCGCTGAGTAACAGTCCGCAATAGGGAGTTTGGACATCCAAAAGGCTGACGCGTTTCGAGGACTTGCCTCTTCCTCAGAGCCACAATAGGGGGCCCCATGAGATGCCCCTGGTACCTTTTTCATAGGCTTTTTTGAGTTTGGGCAAGGACACAGGGGCGCCATGATCCTCTATTGCCCTGAGGCCCCATGAGTTGTCAGTCCACCCTGGCTGTGTGCATCAATAGAAACACACAACCCCATACCCTAGGATGGCAAAGCACTCCCTTGCTCCCTCCCCCCTTCACTTCTCCAAGCTAACATGCTGACTAGAGACTGCACTATCCACTGGTAACTCTTTCCTGCGAAGACTGGATGTTCAGGGAAGCAGCACTGAGAAAGCAAGAGCTACCAGCACTGAAAGTTGTGCTACAAGTGCAGGGGTGAGAATATTATCAAATAGTTTACTGGGGAATGTTTATTTTATTGTGCTCAGTGTGTTAAAGGATAAGCTCACCTTTTACAAAATAATAATAAATGCGCATCTTTTTGCAGGTAAAAAAAATGTGCATTTATTATTTTTTTAAAATACATTCTGTAAGGCAGGTCATGTGTGTAATGCCTGGATTCTGCAGACGCTCAGTAAGTTGTCTGCCTATGCCTCATATGAGCAAGCAGTTACTGAATTGCAGGAAGAATGAGTGAACTACATTGGGAACTACAAGCCATCAGCTGGCAGTACTTGCAGGCATTCATTCCCAGGAAACTGTGAATGAATGATGCGGCTGTGTGCGCAAATCCTCATACGGCTGCACTGTTTTTAATTGTGAAAGCAGGTGCAAGCAGAATGGGGGGGTGCATTCAGGGGGGAGGGGAGGCAGGAGCTGGAACATGTTATATATTCTACCTTAAATAACGGTGGAACATGTAACATTGTTTCAAAGGTAAACTTATCATTTAGGTTCAAAAGAGCTGAGGGTTGAATACTAGCCTGAGCTGCTCAGAGAGTATACACACCAGTTTAATCTGCTGAGCCTCCAAACACTTACTGTAGGGGTTGATTAACTAAAAGGCACATAAGCTGCACACTTTGCTAGTGCAGTTGCTCAAGAGCTTAGTAAGTGAGGTAAAGCTTCAATTTGCAAAGAACTCCCAATCAAATGCAAAGAAAAAAAAACAGCATTTATACCTGAACATGATTGGATGATGAAAATCAGCAGAGTTCCCCCTCATTTACTAAGCTCTTGAGCAACTGCACTTGCAAAGTGCACAGTCTATTTGCCTTTGATAAATCAACCCCTGTGAGTCCATTCACACTGGCAATTAGCACACCCTGCAAATTTCATTGGCAAGAATGTGGATTCTTGCGTATTGAATGACAGCTTTTGGCAAACAGCTGTAGCCGCGGCAGTTACCTGCAACCAGACTGCATCCAGCCAGTAACATGTCTTCCTAACCACAGGAAACCCTGACTGTACAAGTAACTGGATAGCAGCAGCTTCCGTTAGCCTGTCATTGCTTTGTATGGACTGAGCGGCTGCAGCTGTTTGCACACACTTGTCATTCAGATGCAGGAATCCACAGATTCTTTCTGCTGGAATTTGAAGGGTGTGCTAATCGCCTGTGTGAATGAAAACGTAATGTGGAAACTCAAAGTCAGAACACCATCATGTTCCACCTGCAACATGCCGCTCTCCAATTGGTTAGAGCAGCCTTTCCCAACTTTTATTTAATCAAATCACTCTGTAAAATAATGTAAAATCACAAGGATCCCCAGTATACAATGTAAGGCAAAAGCTTATCTCTGCCTCTAGGCTTCCAAGATGTCAGTCTGGTTGTACACACACATAAACAGACACACTCACTGACATTATTTCTTAAATATAATATTTCACAAGACAGAATGCAATACCACAGGCATTTCCTACATAGTCAGAGGTAGTGCAGATTCCTTCCTCCTGACATACCATATCTGATGTGTCCACCTCCTAACATTGCTATAATAATATCCCAGCACATACATGGGCATATGAGCAGCTCTCAATGGCAGTGGTTAGCAGTTGTGCCTAGCAGAACTAGGATCTTTGGTTCGAATCCCAACTATGGCACTACCTGCCTAGGTTTACATGTTCTCCCTGTGCCTGCGTGGGTTTCCTGTGGGTACTCTGGTTTTCTCCCACACTCCAAAGACATGCTGGTAGGTTAATTGTTTCCTGTTCAAATTCTTAGTATGTGTGAATGTGAGTTAGGGACCTTAGATTGTAAGCTCCTTGATGGCAGGGACTAATGTGAATGTACAATACATATGTAAAACATATATACAGTATAGTGGTCCATTTCTGCAGACCTCCTGTCCATACCCCAGAGTACAGCATATTTTACCCACTTACACTTACAGAGAATTGTAGGATTTCTCCTCACCTTTCTCCAGCCTCTGTTCCTGATCACTGGAGATCCCTGGACACCCTCTTTCTCCTGCCATTGCCAACCACACTTTGACACTTAATGATCACTCCTGCCCATACCTTTTAGCAAGACTTACTGTATATGACCCTCTCCTACACCGAATGCGCTGATTAGCAGAGACGGTGAATACAAAGCCAGAACATAGAATCTGAGACAAAGTAAATCACCTGTGATCCCCAGCACCCCTGATGATCTCAGGAAGCACCTCAGGGTGCTTGAGGCACCCTGGTAGAGAAAGGCTAGGTTAGAGACTTGAGAAATCATACATGGAGGGATGTAGACTAGGTGTGTCAAAGCTTTGTTTAATGCAATGCCAGTCCATAGAGTCCAAGAAAAAATAAGTCACACGTGATCCCCTGGCATCCCTTATGAGCTTAGTCAGTACCCTAGGGTGCCAAGGCACCCTGATTAAGAAAGGCTGGGTTAGAGGGTTGAGGAGCTATAGGGATGTGGGATGGGTGTAGCAATGCTTTGCCTTTGGATATTGAAGTGGCCAATGCATATTGACAACACAACGTTTAAGGGCTTCCAGAGTGCACCAGACGAATAACAGAGGTTGGTAGAGACCTTTAAGTACTTGTTTTAGGTTCTTCTAGAATTTGAAACATCTTAAAGTGATGGATTTGCTTTCAAATGACTCTGTATGCTGAAAACAATTATTTTTGTTATGCTTACACTTAAGTTCACTGCCACCCCCCATAGCAAGAGCCCCTTTAACAAACCTTATAATTATCAGTGTGAGGTGCTTGCATAGAGTGTTTGAATGACTGATAGCCAGGGCAGTGTGTCCTATTAGAGTTGCTATTTACATAGCAATTTCTGGGGAGCTCCAGAGGCGAATTGGGACAGCATGGGACACTGAATAGGTAGTAGCAGGCACAATGTGGTTCCTGCTATACATTATATGTGTTCGGTTGATTATTGTTTTCAGAGGATAGAGTCACTTTAAGAAACAGGCGAAGGAAAGGAAAAGTGGAGGTGCTGTTTGTAATAACCAGTCACATTCTTTTATTTTCAAACCTGCTTTAGAAAATGGCAATTAGAATTTGATTGAATGCTGTGGGCAACACATGTCTCTCCATTTCTTCTCTTTCATAGAATACCTCTAAGTGTAGATATCTGTAGTTTGAAACCCTATAATTCAATGTTTTTTTGTGTGTACAATATGAAAATATGACTGAAAATGTAAATTTGAAAATCTATATGATACTGGAATGAATATATATATATATATATATATATATATATATATATATACACATATATATATTTATAGCCTAGTTCATTTTATGCATGAATAGGGTGTTGTAGGCACATATTCACTGTTTTAATACCCAGCACTATATTGTAAATTGATATTTTATTTTGTGCGCTCTCTAGA